GTTGAGAATTGGACACGAGTGCGGAGTGGACGCACGAGCCGAAGGCGCCTTCGGCTCGTGCGTTTACTCCGCACTCGTGTCCAATTCTCAACTTCCCGCACTTGTTACACAAATAACTATTTAAGAATATTTTTTTAATCTTTGAAGATTAACTGTTATATTTAAAAAAAAGCAACATAATAAGAAATATGTTAATTAAGTGAAATTAAGATACGAGAATCGAGTATAAATACAAATAGACTGGTAAATGATTTTGTTGATGAATTTAATGATAAATTAAAACAATGATCCTTTATATTATTAGATGTATCTTCAAAAGTATGTAAAGGACACTAACAATTTTCACTAGAATCATTGACAGCTTTGATAAGAAAGCTGCTGTTAATTAGTTAATAATCATTTTTTCCTATCACTGACTTAAATTATGATATATATTATTGTATAAAGTTATAGAATTACTGATTGTATTTATTATTAATCTTATGGAATGGAGTATATTTTTATTACTTTATAGTATGTATATATATATTCGTGTTAATAATTACAATATAGAATAATACATGAAAATGATTTACATTGAAGATTACAATAAGATACACATACATTACATTATGTACACATACAGATTTTGTTGCTTCACCTAAACTTCTGTAACAATTCTAAATTATAATTCTTAATGCATGTATGCAGCCTATCAATATTCGATCAATATATATTTGCACATATCTTCATTTACTAAAATCAATTTTTGTGGCAATATTATTCCACAAACAACTTCCAAAAGCCTTTCTGATAACAATTAGACTATTACTCCATAATTTTGTGCTATGTGAAAGACAATTGGATTATCGTTGGAAAAGTAAATATAAGTAATCGAGTTTAATATGTTTAAAATAATTGGTTTAAAATATGGGGATATAATTATCTATTTTAGCACGATGCTTTTGAGCAACGCATTCCGCAATCCATACGATATTACGACACTCTTGTTCCTTCAATTTCAAGTAGCTATAGAATACTCCAAAATGAAATTGTTGAAGGAATGCATGGACGTTTAAACGAACCTTTGTATAAAAAATTAAAATTATTTAATATAGATAATATAATATACAAATTATTATTTGTATGCTATTGTTATTTTTTATATTACAAGTGTACTTGCCTCGTGTTCAAAGAACTTGTCTTCCAAGGTCTTATCACCAGGATTATTACCTGCTCCTTCAAATAAGGCGCTGTATTCCTGTTTAAATATTGATAAATATTGTTTAATAGAAATATCTGGTAATAAAAAGTGTAGCCTATAGTAGAACATATAAGACGAAGAAAACTTATAAAATACTAATGCTACGTAATAGCATAACTAATCATAAGTCTAATCAAATACATTATTTAAAACTTTACTCACAGCATAATATTCTGCTACTGCCTTTACTTGTTCATAATCATCGGCTCTTGCTAAGGCAGCCAATCCATCTGGATTCAAACGTCCACAACGCGGATATAATTTTGCACGATCATCTTTACCCAATTCAGTGCCAAATGAATTAATGGTTATAATGATCGCTCTTCTATCTGCTTCAAACTATAAACACAAAAACGATATAATTTTATGAAGTACGATAAAGTCTTCTCATTATTTTAACGGAGCAAAATATCTTACGGCAAGTATTTCACACATAGTGTCTGCAGTTGTACCGCCAAGATCTTTGCAGAATTTATAAAATGCTTCCAGATAAGCCTTATAAAGGGTGTTTCTTATTATCTCAATGTTCATCTCATCCAAGTCTTGCTCAGAAATGCAATCCACGAAGAAAGGTGCTATAACAAAATAATTGTTGCAGTTCAAGAAAGTAATTATATCGCAACACATATGTATTAACATGGGCATAATAACATGGGATAAAGAACAATACAAATGAGAAATATAATATATTCCAATCAGGATCATACCCAAAGGTGTATCTACTAGTACAGCATTGTACAACTCTGCGGGTGTAGCAGCAACGTGAATTGCTTCCATCTGTTCAAAGCTGCCAAGCGGATGACACTTTGGAATCAACTCAGAAATAGGCCGTTGATGCAAGGTACCGGTAATTAACAAAATAATATTGTCAATCATATAACTGTAAGTAATGAAATCCAAAAATTGAGACAGAGGCTCCACGGAGTGATTGCGCATATGTTGAAACTCTACAACCAATTTTTCCCTCAATTTGTCATCGATCACGCTGACAGAAAGCGGAGATGGCTCATTGGCCAAGAAGCTGCCGTAGTCTGTACCAGCCAAGTGTAGTTTCAAATCTAAATACACAATTCATCAGATTTAGGGCCGAAACACATAACATTGCATAGCGATATGTGACTATCATATGATAGTCATATATAGTTTACGCAATGTTATATGTTTTGGCTCTAAGAAGAAAGAATAAGTTTACGATTTATAAAGAGTAACAATTGAATCAAAACTCTGAATTTTTGCACGTCAAATAGATTTCAGTTTTCTCTTAAATTTTCTTCAAGTTACATTTTTACAAATTTAAAAAAATGGAAGTTACACGTTATAAAAACATGAGATATCTTTTTTTTATTAAATATACGTTTAAAATGCTTTGAGAAAATTATGCTGGTTGAAATATCAAAGGAAATCGAACAAGTACCTTCGAGTGTTTCGCATTGAACTAGGTTCAAGTAATCACTCTGTTGAAGTATACCACATTTGAAACCACGGCATAAACCCTCCAGGTAGCCGCCGTCGATGTTGAATAGACACCCCTTCATTTTGCGACGAGAATCTCCTCAAATATGTCCGAACGAAAGACCGATGTGTCAAACTGCTCCTTCAGACTCGCCCTTTTCCACAAAATCATATGACCGAGTGAACAGAAGTTTGCCGCGAGTTCTCACGTGCACTGTATAGCGATATGACTCACAATTCGATTCGATTCTGGAGAATAGCGCGATTTTTAAATACAATCTTCTTCCAATAAATACGTTGCGTGAAATGCTTGATTATATTACCGAGGTATTATATTAACAATTATCTTATGGATGTTTACGTGAAGAATTTAATTTAAATAGTTAGATTGTAATGTAATATTAATGTTATGATTTACCGTTATCCTAATATTTTGTAAAAACATATATTCGACGACATTTAATCTTCATTTAAAACTGCACTTCTATCGTTATAATAATTTACTCCGCGTAAGCGGAGATTATACTACCTTATACCTCGGTATAAGTGCCCGTCTACAATAGGTGTTTTAAGCCCTCTTAGGGCGAATTTCACCAACCACAGTTAGCTTAACCGACGGTTAAAGTTAACAGGATTGACCAATAGAAAGCAGGGTGGATTTATTTCTATTGGTCAATCCTGCTAACTTTAACCGTCGGTTAAGCTAACTGTGGTTGGTGAAATTGGCCCTAAGCCCTAAGAAATTGACTAAGGCCGGTATTCATAATCAGATCTTATTTCAAGACCGTCTTAAGTAATATCTTAAGATGCTAATACGGCTCTGTAATTGGTTAATGACATCTTAAAATTGTACTTAAAGGGCCATCTACAATGAGTCGCAGTCGTAAGAGTCGTAAGAAATTGACCAATCACAGTCTATTAAGGCCTTCACACACGAATCGACGGAAGACGTAAGACGTAAATCGTAAGGAAATCCACCAATCAGAGTCGACTATTCCCCTCTTTAAGAGGGAAAAAAAGGGGAATAGTCGACTCTGATTAGTGGATTTCCTTACGATTTACGTCTTACGTTTTCCGTCGATTCGTGTGTCCGGGGCTTTATTCTCCTTGCGGTCGAAGAATAATGAAGGCTGCATTCGAGGAGCGCGCTATTAGCGCTATTGCATCATTCTGTCTTTATCGCTTATCAGATGTAAAACAAGGATAGAATAAGCAAATAGCGCTAATAGCGCGCTCCTCGAATCCAGCCGAACTGTGATTGATCAATTTCTTACGACTCTTGCGACTGCGACTCATTGTAGATGGCCCTTAAGATAGTCTTAAATATAAGAACCGACTATGAATATCGGCCTAAATGCCCGTCTA